TCAAAGGATTTGTGGCAATATATTTTGTGCAGAAAATACAATAGAATTTGACAAAGAGAATGTGTTTTTTTAAGTTTTGTGAACAACAGAGAGCTTGCTATTTGTATGTACAACTGTGACGTCATACCTTTTGCGTCACAATGAGCGATGTGGCGTCGAAATAGTGGCGCTTTGTGTTGAACCAAACCTCTGGAAGGCTTGCTTATTTTTCTTATGGCGTTTCCACCTCATGTTAGCTTATGACGTTGCTGTGCTACATGCTTTCAGTGCCTGTCATAAGTTCATGTGAAGTATTACGGTCTTAACAAACTGCTTGACGGGAAAGGCCATATATTGTTTAAAGGCCATTGTCAGTGATTCCGTAAATTCTGATCGACAACCCACTCAAAACTCAACCCATGTGGCTTCAGACTGTGCATTCAGTTCCAAATTCAATTTAGCGCAGTTAAATCTACAGGTAACATAGCACTACATTGAAAACACAGTATGTTTATCTGCTGATAGACACACAGGCGTAGGCCTATATTACATACATGTAACATGATCCATCATATTGAGAGCACATTTTGTTATGTTCTTGAGATGAGAATACTAACATGTTAAGTATCAAGGATCATGTTACAAGTATGGCTTTAAGAGCTCCTTTTGTCGTAATTAAAGTAGTGAGTGAGTGAGTGAGTTGGGTTTAACGCCCCTTTTAACAGTATTCCAAGTTATATCGCGGCGTGTCAGCTTAATGTGGGAGGAAAACCCGAAGTGATGCAGGTCTCAGACGTTTACCACTTCGGTTAAACCCACGAGCACGGGTATGGTGCTGACAAACCTAGAAACATAATCGGGGCGAACCGGGATTCGAACCCACAATCATAAGTTTCTGGCGTGCCCAAGGGACGCAACTCTGCACAGCGAATCGCGGCACCTTAGACGACTGGGCCACCCGTGTCCCCCGTAGTTAAAGTAATGAACATTACTGGTTTTTATACCCCGACCTTTTACGTCTGGGGTATATAGTTATACATGTACCAAGGTTCCTTCCATCCGTCTGAAAACTTTGTCCACGCGATTTATCTTAAACTATTCAGTGGATTCATCTCAAACTTAGTACATATAATCTGTGTCATATGGAGGGGTGCAGTCAAAAAAAATAAAAATGTTTTTATTAATTTTTCCATTTTTTTATGAATTTTTCAAACCCTAACCCTATTCATTATTTAATTTGAAACTACTGACACACTAGGTGGGTCGGGGGTATTAGTGAGCCATGCTCACTTTTGCCCTTGTTTTTCTAAATTTGATGAAAGAAGGACTTGATTGAACTATATCAGCTGTTTTATATATATAGTATCATCAAGCAGTTGAACTTAATGCAGGGCATTGGGTCAAATAATTTGGACCATTTATTGCTTCATGTGAGGCAAAGAAAATTATAAATTGCTCAAAATGCTAAAGCATAGAAAATCCTAAGTGAAAGAGAAAAAGAGATGGAGTCCTGATGAGGCTTAAATGTTCCCATTGGCAAGAATAGCTCATCAAATCAGATACGTTTAGCAGTAAATGGCAGAGTATGTTCAAATGAATAAGGTTCTTGTCCTGTTTACTTTATTTTTAAGACAAACGATTATGTTCTGGTGTGTTGGTCATGATTGCAAACAGGAACCCCAAAACTACTTGCATCATGATCACCAGACGGTAGTAGATTGCTATTCTCCATCAATCGATACTAATTGATATTCTCCATCAATCGATACTAATTGATATTCTCCATCAATCGATACTAATTGATATTCTCCATCAATAGAAACAGATTGCTATTCTCCATCAATCGATACTAATTGATATTCTCCATCAATCGATACTAATTGCAATTCTCCATCAATAGATACTAATTGATATTCTCCATCAATAGATACAGATTGCTATTTTCCACCAATAGATACAGATTGATATTATCCATCAATAGATACAGATTGCTATTCTCCACCAGTAGATACAGATGCTATTCTCCATCAATAGATACTAATTGATATTCTCCATCAATAGATACAGATTGCTATTTTCCACCAATCGATACAGATTGATATTCTCCATCAATAGATACAGATTGCTATTCTCCACCAATAGATACAGATTGCTATTCTCCACCAATAGATACAGATTGATATTCTCCATCAATAGATACAGATTTTATTCTCCACCAATAGATACAGATTGCTATTCTCCATGAACAGATACAGATTGCTATTCTCCACCAATAGATACATATTGCTATTCTCCACCAATAGATACAGATTTTATTTTCCACCAATAGATACAGATTGCTATTCTCCACCAATAGATACAGATTGCTATTCTCCACCAATAGATACAGATTGATATTCTCCATCAATAGATACAGATTGCTATTTTCCACCAATAGATACAGATTGCTATTCTCAATTAACAGATACAGATTGCTACCCTACAATTGCCTTGTGTAATTCTGGATGTTCAACACCAACATGAGTAAGTTAGTCTTGTTTGTTTATGACTTATACTCCATGACACAGCAGTTAGACCCTTGCAGTCCAGAAATCACCAACACCCCATACACCGTCATAAGCAGTTTTTGCCCGTCTCTCTGTTGGAAACAACTGCCTCCCTATCACCCAGTAGCCAGTAATATTGTAGACAGCCTAATCATCTGTCTACTCTGTCTAGTTCAACTGTATTGGGAATAAGTGGTATAAAGTCCATGTAATCATCTGGTTTATGTAAAGAGAGACAACTTAGAAGTATGGCGATCTTCACCTCAGGAGTCCCTGCCTACCATTTACACGCTTGCATCCTGTAATACTGCAGTCTGCATCTTGATCATCACTTGAAAGTAGACAAAACATTTATAGATAAGATTTTGTCCATCATTTTTTTGTCTACTTTGTTCGCTATTACAGGAAAATAAAGTTGTTATCCATAATTTCTTTTGTCTACTTTGAGTTCCGGCGACATCTAAGAAATGCCTGTCAAACAATTCATCACTTGAAAACTGAAATTATGAAAATTGATAGTTTGTTAAGCTTAAAACTACACAGAAATCTTTTTGAGTCTGGGGACCAAGTAACTGATGCTTCTCATGACTCCATGTAATTTGGATTGGGGTCAGCCTCTGTGACTGACTGTGTGGAATGGTGGTCGTGCTATCCACCACTGGTTTGCCAGACCAGACTCGATAATTCATTCTCAAGTGATATAGCTGAAATATGTCTGACTGTCATGTAAAACAACAAAGATGAAGCTTTGCTTCAAACTGATTATCAGTCGAATCAGAAACAGATCTTAAGTCAAATCTTAAAATGTCAAATGATTTGTTTAGCCTCAACACTGCATGTGGATCCCTTTAGGAGAAGGGGAACAGGTGGCCCAGTTATCTAAGGTGCCTCAATCGCTGTGCAGAGTTGCATCCCTTAGGCATGCCAGAAACTTATGGTTGGTTCGAATCCCGGTTCACCCTGATTATGTTTCTAGGTTTGTCAGCACCATACCCATGCTCGTGGGTTTCACCAAAGTGGTAAACATTTGAGACCTGCATCACCTCGGGCTTTCCTCCCACATTAAGCTGACACGCTGTGATATAACTGGAATACTGTTAAAAGTGGTGTTAAACCCAACACACTCACTCATTTAGGAAAAAACATACCCAATAGATCAATAATATCATGATTGAAATCATTAACAATTTTCAGTCTTCATTTTAGATATTATGGACCAGTCCAGTCATCTGTTGTACCGCCATTTGCTGTGCAGAGTTGCATCCCTTATGTGTGCCAGAAACAGGGGTTCGAACCCTCATTGTGTGTCTATGTCTTAGCGATAGAAATTGGCACTAGTCCTGTAGTTCTAGCCAAACTGCCCATTAGTTAAGGTATCATAAGGACGAATAGAAATTTGCTATTTTAGAGGGTTTTATCCCCCACCATGGAGTGGAAGGGGGATATAGGAATGGGTGCTGTCTGTCTGGTTTCATTTTCGGAGCAGAACTAAAAAATCATGAGAAAGATATTTTAGCCAAACTTTCGTAGCCTTTTGATAGTATGGGATTTTTTTAAAATTTATTTTTCGAGTTTCCATAGCAACGGCTTTTAATTAGACTGAAAATGGCGGTCGTGCTCCTTTCCAGAGCAGATCTTGAAAGCCATACAATATTTCTTCATCAAACTTGGCACATAGATAGGTCTAGTGGTAAACTGGTGCCTTTTGATAGTTTGGGATTTTCTAGAACATTATTTTTCGAGTTTCCATATCAACGACTTTGACTGAAAATGGCGGTACTGCTCATTTCCGGATCAGATTTTGAAAACCGTACAGTATTTCTTTCCTTGCACACAACTGGACATGTTATATTGGCAGGGGATATGAGTATTTCATGCTTGTGCTCTATGTTATCATTATATAGAGTTGTCTACTAAAGCTGTTAGTTTCTACCACTGTTTGTGTCATCACCATTCCCTGCTTGTGGGCTTTTCCAAGTGTGTAACTATCCAAGATTTCAACTTCAGGCTTTCCCCCCACATCAAACTGACACGCCATATGACTTAACTACTGTTCAAAGCATTTTAAAAAACCCTCACTCATTCACTTTTCATCAATGGCTATTCCGTAATAGCCATGACAAAAAATGTATCAATTAGATGTGATACCTCATGTAGACCCTTAAGAAAGCTGAAATCAGCTGTACCCATAAATGAATAATAAGCATATCTTAGTCATCATGATGGGTCATTATGATCACCATTATAACCAGTTAATCAGACAGCATCTTGAGTGTCAATAGCAGCATCGGCACTGTCCCTGCTCATTACTCCGACGGTGTAGAGGGTCAGGATGTTCCTTGGAGCAGAGTGACCCAGAACACTGCAGGCAGGGTCACATTCACACAGTCTCGCTGTTCCTCCTCACAACCTTCATTAAAAATAATGTTCACAAATATTTTAACAATATGAAAGAAATTGTGTTTGTATTTGCAGGTGTGTTTCAATCTGGTGGATGCTCTCCTCGATCAAGCCTGTCTCCCGACCTTTTCTGACCTTACAAATGCTCCTGATATCATCGCCGGCCCTGAGAACTCAATATTACAGGTATAGTCTTATCTTATGATTCTAAGGGTGGTGGGGTAGCCTAGTGGTTTAAGTGTTTACTCATCACGCCGAAGGCCGGGGTTCGATTTCTAACATGGTACCTTGTGTGAAGCCCATTTCTGGGTTCTCCACTGTCATATAGCTTATATGTTGCTAAAAACAGAGTATACCAAATTCCCTCACTCACTCTCCACTACTCACTGAATTTTAGAAGGACACTGGGTGAATGCAATGTGTGATTGTTGTTCATGTACTTTCGACCACTAGGTTTTCCTGTAATTTCTAATATTTTTACAGGCCACAATAATATAGCTGAGAAATTGCTAATGTCAGCATAAAACAATATTGATTCAGATCAAGGTTGAAATAGTTCACAATCATCTTGTTTTTATATCTTATTCTTATCCTTTTTATATCTTATTCTTATCCTTTTTATTCTTATTCTTATCCTTATCCTTTTTACTCTTATACTTATTCCTTTTATTCTTATTCATGTTATTATTATTATTCTTTTTATTCTTATACTTTTTATTCTTATACTTATTCTTATCCTTTTTATTCTTATACTTATTATTCTAATACTTCTTCTTATTCTTTTTATTCTTATTCTTATACTTATTCTTATCCTTTTTATTCTTATTCTTATACTATTCTTATACTTATTCTTATCCTTTTATTCTTATATTTATTCTTATCCTTTTTATTCTTATACTTATTCCTTTTATTCTTATTCATGTTATTATTATTCTTTTTATTTTTATTCTTATACTTTTAATTCTTATTCTTATTCTTATTCTTTTTATCCTTATTATTATACTTATTCTTATCCTTTTTATTCTTATTCTTATACTTATTCTTATCCTTTTTATTCTTATTCTTATACTATTCTTATACTTATTCTTATCCTTTTATTCTTATACGTATTCTTATCCTTCTTATTCTTATTCTTATACTTATTCTTATTCTTTTTATTCTTATATTCTTATTCTTATTCTTTTTATTCTTATACTTGTTATTCTTATACTTATTCTTATTCTTTTTATTCTTATTCTTATACTTATTCTTATATGTATTCTTATCCCTTTTATTCTTATTCTTATACTTTTTATTCTTATTCTTATACTAATTCTTATCCTTTTTATTCTTATACTTATTCTTATTCTTAATCTTCTACTTATTCTTATCCTTTTTATTCTTATACTTATTCTTATCCTTATTATTCTTATTCTTATACTAATTCTTATCCTTTTTATTTTTATACTTATTCTTATTCTTAATCTTATTCTTATCCTTTTTATTCTTATTCTTATACTTATTCTTATTTTTATTCTTATTCTTATACTTATTCTTATCCTTATTATTCTTATTCTTATACTAATTCTTATCCTTTTTTATTCTTATACTTATTCTTATTCTTAATCTTCTACTTATTCTTATCCTTTTTATTCCTATTCTTATCCTTTTATTCTTATTCTTATACTTATTCTTATCCTTTTTATTCTTATACTTATTCTTTTTATTCCTATTCATTTTATTATTCTTATACTTATTCTTATTCTTTTTATTCTTATTCTTTTACTTATTCTTATCCTTTTTATTCTTATACTTATTTTTATCCTTTTTATTCTTATACTCATTCTTATTCTTATACTTATTCTGATTCTTTTTATTCTTATTCTTATTCCTACTTATTAGATGACTGACAGACACACTGAATGATATTTAACCTCATCATGTAGGTAGTTCACTCAGATAGTATATCACCATTTGACACCAGAATTTGATTGGGAATAACAGACAGTCATCGGATGTTTTCCTTGTTTTAAAAAGAATCCATGTACGCTTTTGTTTATCTGAAATGTAATATGTCACACCAGGAAGCTTCACGACACATATCATGACTTCCAAGGAATGTCCCAGCCCCACTGTACACGTTTACAGGCAAATGACTCGGTGATGCAGATGTATTATATGCTACTCAAAAGAAGTTAAGGATCATATTACTATACTTAATGTGTGATCGTGTGGTCCTAAACTTCTTTTGGTCAAATGTAGGCATTATATCAACTCTACTGCAGTGAATAATTCCAAAAATTGCGACATCTGACTTCTTGTAACTTAGATATGTATTGCTGGTGAGGTTATGTGCCATGTTGGAGCATCACAGGGACGGATGCAAATTGAGAGTCATCTAAACCAGCATTGTAAGCTGAATTATGTTTTAAAAAGGTTCACTCAGTGATGTAAAATACCCAGTAGACTGGATCCAAGGGTGTTCAAGTATACTGAATACCCAAAGGAAACTATCAATACCCCAAGTGAATGATGAGTTCATGTGATTAGATACTCAATGGCTCAGAACATCATCTGCAGCCCTGTAACTATGTGTTCGAGGGAGCATGTGTGGATGTGAATGAATGTGTGTATCCGTCTTATATATTTGGGAAAAGCTTGGACACTCGCTTTTTACATGGTACTGTATCGTAGCTGGGCCGGTTCAGTAATTATTAGCAGTTGTACCAAGTCAAAATATTCCCATGGAAATCCATATTTATCATGTCAAAATATCATGTTACCATCAATGCAGGTCTATATTTCTAGTCCCCTTTCTTCTCATGGTTTGGGGAAGTTTGTCTGAGAATACAAGTGTCAGTTAGGAAAACAAACTTAGTTGCTGTTAGCACATGGACCTTCACCTCAGTGGACGTGGTGGTTATTGTGTACCCTGTGTCCTCAAGGCTTCCTCCAGTTCAAGGTGGTTGTTGTGTACCCTGTGTCCTCAAGGCTTCCTCCAGTTCAAGGTGGTTGTTGTGTTCCCTGTGTCCTCAAGGCTTCCTGTAGTTCAAGGTGGTTATTGTGTACCCTGTGTCCTCAAGGCTTCCTCCAGTTCAAGGTGGTTATTGTGTTCCCTGTGTCCTCAAGGCTTCCTCCAGTTCAAGGTGGTTGTTGTGTTCCCCATGTCCTCAAGGCTTCCTGTAGTTCAAGGTGGTTATTGTGTTCCCCATGTCCTCAAGGCTTCCTCCAGTTCAAGGTGGTTGTTGTGTTCCCCATGTCCTCAAGGCTTCCTGTAGTTCAAGGTGGTTGTTGTGTTCCCATGGCCTCAAGGCTTCCTCCAGTTCAAGGTGGTTGTTGTGTTCCCCATGTCCTCAAGGCTTCCTCCAGTTCAAGGTGGTTGTTGTGTTCCCCATGTCCTCAAGGCTTCCTCCAGTTCAAGGTGGTTATTATGTCCCCATGTCCTCAAGGCTTCCTGTAGTTCATGGTGGTAATTGTGTTCCCTGTGTCCTCAAGGCTTCCTCCAGTTCAAGGTGGTTGTTGTGTTCCCCATGTCCTCAAGGCTTCCTCTAGTTCATGTTGGTTGTGGTGTTCCCTGTGTCCTCAAGGCTTCCTCCAGTTCAAGATGGTTATTGTGTTCCCTGTGTCCTGAAGGCTTCCTCCAGTTCATGGTGGTTATTGTGTTCCCCATGTCCTCAAGGCTTCCTCCAGTTCATGGTGGTTATTGTGTTCCCCATGTCCTCAAGGCTTCCTCCTGTTCAAGATGGTTATTGTGTTCCCCATGTCCTCAAGGCTTCCTCCAGTTCAAGGTGGTTATTGTGTTCCCTGTGTCCTCAAGGCTTCCTCCAGTTCAAGGTGGTTATTGTGTTCCCATGTCCTCAAGGCTTCCTCCAGTTCAAGATGGTTATTGTGTTCCCCATGTCCTCAAGGCTTCCTCCAGTTTAAGATGGTTATTGTGTTCCAATGTCCTCAAGGCTTCCTCCAGTTCAAGGTGGTTATTGTGTTCCCTGTGTCCTCAAGGCTTCCTCCAGTTCAAGGTGGTTATTGTGTTCCCATGGCCTCAAGGCTTCCTCCAGTTCAAGATGGTTATTGTGTTCCCCATGTCCTCAAGGCTTCCTCCAGTTCAAGATGGTTATTGTGTTCCCCATGTCCTCAAGGCTTCCTGTAGTTCAAGGTGGTTATTGTGTTCCCCATGTCCTCAAGGCTTCCTCCAGTTCAAGGTGGTTATTGTGTTCCCCATGTCCTCAAGGCTTCCTCCAGTTCAAGATGGTTATTGTGTTCCCTGTGTCCTCAAGGCTTCCTCCAGTTCAAGGTGGTTATTGTGTTCCCTGTGTCCTCAAGGCTTCCTCCAGTTCAAGGTGGTTATTGTGTTCCCATGGCCTCAAGGCTTCCTCCAGTTCAAGATGGTTATTGTGTTCCCCATGTCCTCAAGGCTTCCTCCAGTTGAAGATGGTTATTGTGTTCCCCATGTCCTCAAGGCTTCCTGTAGTTCAAGGTGGTTATTGTGTTCCCCATGTCCTCAAGGCTTCCTCCAGTTCAAGGTGGTTATTGTGTTCCCCATGTCCTCAAGGCTTCCTCCAGTTCAAGATGGTTATTGTGTTCCCTGTGTCCTCAAGGCTTCCTCCAGTTCAAGGTGGTTATTGTGTTCCCTGTGTCCTCAAGGCTTCCTCCAGTTCAAGGTGGTTATTGTGTTCCCCATGTCCTCAAGGCTTCCTCCAGTTCAAGGTAGTTATTGTGTTCCCCATGTCCTCAAGGCTTCCTCCAGTTCAAGATGGTTATTGTGTCCCAATGTCCTCAAGGCTTCCTCCAGTTCAAGGTGGTTATTGTGTTCCCTGTGTCCTCAAGGCTTCCTCCAGTTCAAGGTGGTTATTGTGTTCCCATGGCCTCAAGGCTTCCTCCAGTTCAAGGTAGTTATTGTGTTCCCCATGTCCTCAAGGCTTCCTCCAGTTCAAGGTGGTTATTGTGTCCCAATGTCCTCAAGGCTTCCTCCAGTTCAAGGTGGTTATTGTGTTCCCTGTGTCCTCAAGGCTTCCTCCAGTTCAAGGTGGTTATTGTGTTCCCATGGCCTCAAGGCTTCCTCCAGTTCAAGATGGTTATTGTGTTCCCCATGTCCTCAAGGCTTCCTGTAGTTCAAGGTGGTTATTGTGTTCCCCATGTCCTCAAGGCTTCCTCCAGTTCAAGGTGGTTATTGTGTTCCCCATGTCCTCAAGGCTTCCTCCAGTTCAAGA